CAACCAGGGCAGCCATGGAAGGGTGTGTGTGTGTGTGTGTGTGTGTGTGTGTGTGTGTGTGTGTGTGTGTGTGTGTGTGGCACACTGCACAGCTCCAGATGGTGTTTTTTTTTTCTTTAAATCACAGTCTGCATGGTGCACTCTGTAACTTGCAACCTGAGCCATGGCACTAGGCAGCCGAGAAGTAGACCAGCAAGTGAGCCTTGCTTTTCAGAGGTCTGGTTATGAGGCGGTGCTTCTGTGGCTGGAAGGGGCTGGCTGTGTGTCCTGTCTCTGGTCATTTGGATCTGTCACCCTGGGCAGCACCTGACCTGATGGCTCCAGGACTGGTGGCATCATTTTTAGGGCAGTCACAAACCCTGGGTTACCTGGATGTGTTCCTCCAGGCCTACTCAAGTGGGGTTTCTCTTGACTCTCTAAGGTCCCTAGGCTGATGTTCAGGCAGGAGCAGCGGTGGTGGGGGAATGGGGAGTGGAAGACAATGAGTGGCCCCATGAGGCACCAATGCCTGCTGCCCCTTCTACCTCAGGTTCTTGAAGGCAGGCTTCTGTAGTCAGGAATGGGGATGGGGGCGCCTAAGGTATAAGCTTGGGATCCTAAAGCTAAAGGTCATTCATTTGTCTTTTTGTTTCTTCTTCTTTTCTTCTGTCCTTCCTTTCTTTCTGACACAGGGTCCCATTATGTAGCCCAGTCTGGCCTGGAACTCAGATCCTCCTGCCTGTACCTCCTGACTGCTGGGATTATAAGCATGTGCCACTACCTTAGAAATCATCTCAAGGCAAGAGAAGGAACTGAAAAGTATTTGTGAGCCCTACCCTTCCCATCTACCTTCTTCTCTATTTCCCATCTCCCTGTCTCTGTCTCTGTCTCAGTGTCTCTGTCTTGGCGTCTCTGTCTGTCTCTCTGTCTCCACCTTGCCCCAATCTGGAGTTTAGTATGGTCATGTTCAGCTTTCAGAGACATTTCATTCTGGGAGATGTATTCTATTAACTGTGAGATTGTGTTTCTGTCTCCCTTCCAACTTGTTTTTCTGCAACTTCCTTTAAATATTTCTTTCACCCCTTTAAAAGGTATTTTTAGTTTTTATTTTGTTTGTATCTATGTGTATGTTTGTATGTCTGTGAGCGGATGCCATGGGGTGTAGGTGCCAGTGGAACCAGGAGTGGGTGTCAGGTTGGAGCTGGAGTTCCAGGCGGTTGTGAGCCACGATTTGCTGTGGGTGCTGGGAATGGAGCCTGGGTCCTCTAGAAGAGCAGCAGCACCCTTCAGCACTGACCCGCATCCCTGGAACTTTCCCTATATGAACGTTTCCTCTTTGGGAAGAAATGGGAGGCAGGACAGGAAGCAGGACAGGCCTGGGAGCAGATCCCCAGGCAGCAGCACCTCAGGGCGCTCTAAGCTTATCCCTGCTTCGCGCCCCGGGGTGTTTGCAGGGAGTGGGCAAGGGTACAGCAGCACTGGTTGGGAACCAGGACCCCTCAGTTCTAGGGAGGTGGGTGGTCCTGGCTAAGGTAATAGACTTGGAGGTCAGAGAAAGACTCCTGCTTTGTCACCCTGGCCCTGCGTTTCTGCCTTTCTGAGCCTTGGGTTTCCTCTCAGTGGCAGTGGGGAGGCTGGCATTGTCTGTGTAAGGGGAGATGCTCTCCATGAGCCCTGTGTTCTGGCTTCCTGAGGGACTCCTGCTGGCCCCCAAGGCCTCAGTCACTTCATCTATAACAGGTGTCATATACCAGCATGGTAACAGAGAGGCAGAGGGTGGGAGGGGCCTCAGCTTCTAACTTCCTGCTCATTAGCTGAGCATCACGGGGAGACCCCTCCCCCTGCACCTACCTCAGAGAAGTCCAGCTGGGCATGGTTGAAGGAGATGCCCTTGATGTTGGGCAGAAGGAGGCCATGCTCTCTGAGCCACTCTGCAAGGGGAAGGCAGGAGCTCAGGGCCTGGTGGGCAGGGCTGTCTGGCAGGTATGCTTGGGAGGTTCTGGGTGGCTACCCTTCCCAGCCAGGGGACCTTCTGCACCCCAATCCCCCTGAACAGCAAGTAGCCTAGGGAAAGTAGACGTTACTAGAGGTCTACAACTTCTAACATTTCGACATGACATTGTCATTTGCAAATGTGTTGGGCCATATTTGTAGTTACCCTGGGACACATGCGTCCTGCAAGCCACAGATTGGATACCCCTAATCATCTCCTCGTCCCCCAACACTTTCACGGCCAGTCTTTTAAAGGAACATTCTTCTTAAATATATCCCAGATCTGTGAACACATTGTTAGGAAGCTGTTCTTCTTTGCAGAGTTTAAGGAAGATAAACTTTGTTGAAGATGGAAGGTTTTCTGGTACTCAGGAAATGCATTCTACCTAATTCTCACACTGAGCTCCAGAACTGCTGACATGTCGGTAGAAATAAAACATGTCACAAATAGACGAGACAGGGGTCAGAATCAACCGAACACCTGAAAATGCTAGAAATGTGGCTCCATTAGACAGTATCCCCTGACTATATCAAAGAAGGCAAATATTCACAGATACGCTTGCTCGCCAAATATCTGAAAACTAAGCCTTAAATCAGCAAATTTACAGAGCTGGCCAGTTTGCTATTAGTGCTTCTGCCAACTAACTATTTGGTTAGCTGATTTTCATAAGTGGAGTTGTGAAAAACTGAGGGCCTGGCATGGTCTCCCCCTGTGCCCACCACCCTGTGTTGAGCAGCCTTTCCCCACCCCGTTTCTGGGCTCTCTGGCTTGGAGTAACCTGGCAATCTTTTGCTGGCCTAATGGTCACTTGGAAGTCGGGTGTGGGGGTGGATGGAGGAGAAGAGCCCATGCGTTTGTTCTCCCATTTGTCCTCAGACCCCACTGGGTCCCCAGCCTGGGGACTCCTCATTCTAGGTCTCTTCCATAGGACTTTCCCAAGTCTCCCGACTGTCGTTTCTCATCTCAAGTTGTTTCCTGCAGCCCTCCTGGGTTTCCTCAATGGCATCGCGCTGCCCTTTTCTCCTCTGGGTGGGGTTGTAGTGTGAGCAGCACCCCCTGGCACTAAGCAGTCTCCTGGCCCGGTGTTTAGACCTTGCATGACCACACCAACTTCTGGGCCTGGCCCACTCTCTGGGTTGTCTCTTGACCCTCGTGGTGTTCCAGGGTGTGTCACACAAGCATTGAGTGAGAGCCCGTGGCGGGCACAGGAAGAGTGGGCCCTGTCTCCCCAGCCCCTTGCAGATGGCATCCTTGCCAGTCTGGCCTCTCCGGCTGCCCCGATGGGCCGTCTACTGCTCCCTGCTCTGTGCCCAGCTAGTCTCCCGTTTTGAACAGATTTGCTCACTTCATGCCCAGACCCTTCCCTGGCTACCAGAGGCCCTCAGGATGGAAACGTGGGCAGCGTTTGAGCCTCTGCCAACTTCTCAAAGTGATTGCTCTCCTAGTGTGACTCAGAGCACAAAGACCATCAACTGAGAAAGCAACAAGTCAGGATTCTAGACTCAGCTTGGCCGGAGATTTGCTGAGTTACTTCGGACAAGTCACCTAACCTCTCTGGGTTTATGGAGTGGGCCCATCTGAAAGATGAAAAGACTGAGCTGGATAATCTCTCTGGAGTAAGTGGGGCTGAGCTGTATATCCTACATTTCTTTCGTGTGAGTCACTGGACAGGATGCTATGGACACAATGAGAAACGTGAGGACCTGTGTCCTTGGAAAGCTCACCATGCAGTGGGACACAGGTGCTGACCAGTTAGCCATGGAGACAGGTGAGGGGCACACACCCTGCCCAAGGAATGGCCAAGCTGGGAAGCCCAGTGCTATGGATTGCCCCTCCATCTTCCTGCCTTACCTCCCCAGCTGTCTACACTGCCTTGTCTCAGCATCTGAGGAGCCCAGGGTGAGACAGGGAGTTTTGGAAAATTCTGGATTCCTGATAACTAGAGGGGAGAGTGATGTATTGTGACATTCAGCTTTCAGCTGTTCTAGCCTGTACAAATGCCCACCCTGCTGATGATGTTTACAGTGTGAGCTGCCCACTTTAGCCATCTTATTGGCCTCAGCCCATCTGGCATTCCGCTTGGGACCATCTACTTGGCCCTGCAGTTGCTGAGGGTGAGCGGCCCCTCCCCTCCGAGGGCCCCTTCCTTTACATCCTCCCTGAAGCTGCTCTTCCGGCCACTGGTCCACGCTCTGAGCTTGCATCAGCGTTAGCGGCCTCTGCAACTGCATCCGAAAGTTTGGATGCGTACTGCCTCCTGCTTTGCCTAGGAGCCGGTCTCAACCCTGGCAGCTGTTTGCAGCCCCCGTGGACAGGTCTGGTGCTGCCTCCAGCAATATACTGTGATGTGTGGTCTGACAGGGAGGTACAGTGAGACTTACTGTTATGGTGAGGCAAGAACCGCCTCTTCAGGACCGCCAAGAGCAAGGCCTTCAGATGCTCTTCCTGCAATGGGGAAACAGCATGCAGTTCAGTTCCTCTAGTCTGGCACTTTCCAACCAGGAGGGGTGACTCGATTGTACAGATGCCACACAGATTCTGGAGAAGTCCTGCAGCTACCACCTTAAAAAATACCCACAGTCTTCCTGTGTAGGCTGGGCTTGCTTTGACCGTACTATCCTCCTGCCTTAGCTTCCCGGGTGCTGGGATTACAGGTGCCACAACATCTATCCACATGCCACTTTTGAAGGACTTTGAAGTTTTGGGGTCAGATTAGTGAAGGGTCAGGGGAACCCTGAGGGGCCCAAAAAGGAGAGCCCCCCCCACCAGCCAGGTATCATCTCTGTAGGGAAGGGAACGGATGGGTCTATGGGAGCCCAGAGCACAGCTTCACAGGGACCAACTTTGGGTCAGTGTGAGAGAGATTCTTCTAGTACTGAGAGCTGCTGGCAGGGGGACACATTGAAACAGCAAGCCTCCCAGACCTAGGAGTGCTCAAGGGGTCTTGATCAGGACTGTCCCGACTCCGCTAGATGCTTTTTGTCTGGTAGGAGGCTGCTATTACTACATACATATTTTTACATGTCCATGGTGTCGGTGGCTTATACAGTGTATAAATTGTCACCCTGGTCTCATGGATGCCCTGTGATTTGTCACAGACGATATTCCTGACTGGAGAGAAAAAGAGTCTTAGTGTCTTTGACCCAGATTATAAGCAAGTGAAAATCATGTGTCAAGGACCTTACTATTCTGTAGGGTAGGTCTGCCAGTGAACTCTCCCTACAGTGTCGCTTGGTTTATATACTCAGTCAACCCCACCTCCCTGTGACTCTTCTCTTTTAGGGTTGGAGTCTGTGGCACAGGCCTACAGAGAGGAGAGGTGGGATGTGGGGAGAGGCCTACTGAGGCACCCTTCTTCCCAAGCAGGAGCAGGATCAACCCTTCGGAGAGAGGTGCAGGTTGCATCTGCAGTGGCGTGAGCTCAGGGACTGAAGGCCAGTAGGTTCAACCATGTTGCCCAGCTCCCTGCACCCCTATGTTTAGCCTGGAGAACAAGATTGGCTCTTAAAATCTTACCCCATCCTAGACGACTCCCCACCTCCTTCCCCTTCTCTGACCCATCTGGGAATCCTGTTGGTTAGGACCACCTTCAAAAACGCCGGGTCCTGACTCTCGTGTGCTCAGCCACCACCACCTCCTGGGAACCTCATCCACCTGCTGGCTACGCCCTGCTGTGGGCCCCGTTGGCTTCTCTTAGTGCTGCTTCTCTGCTCACACTCTTTCAATGAGGCTTCCATCCCAGTCTGAGGAAAGTCATCCCAGTATGACCTCCACCCCTCTTGATGTCCTGCACTCTGCTCCAGAGCCCTGGCACTTTCCTGAACCTCTGGGGGCACATTTAGTCCTGGGTCTTTGGTTCACCTCTTCCCTGATGTCTCTGGTCTCCCCACTTCTGCTTAAAGCTCACCCCAATACATTTCCCAGACTCCATTTTTTTAAAAAAAATAAATGATTTGTTTATTTTTATTTTATGTGCATTGGTGTTTTGCCTGCATGTATGTCTGTGTGAAGGTGTTGGATCCCCTGGAACTGGAGTTACAGATAGTTGTGAGCTTTCTTGTGGGTCCCTTGGAAGAACAGCTAGTGCTCTTAGCTGCTGAGCCATCTCTCCAGCTCCCAGACTCCTTTCTGATGTTGCTGATCTCCACACTGACCCTGCTTCTCTCTTCATGGTGCTATCACCTGATTCCATGCTGTATAATTTGCTTTGCTGGGGCTTATATGGGTTTATGTCTGCTAGCCTGTGAGGAGTGGGGACCTTTGTGTTGATACCTGACTCATCTGTGTACCTAAGGCAAGGCTAGGCACATAGTAGGTACTCAATTTACACACACACACACACACACACACACACACACACACACACACAC